ACCCGAGGTTCTTCGGAAGTCATGAGGCGTACGACACTTCTGACAAACAGAAAAACAATTCACATGAAATATCTGTACAATGTAGAAAACAAGAAAGGTCAGAGAAATGACTGAGGAAATGAGAAGATACAACCTGATGGTGCTAGGAGTAAGTGAAAATTGTCAAACCCAAGTTGAACAGAAAAGATAAGATACTGCTGTATTCCAGTCACGAAAAACAGATTTCTCCAAAAACAAGAAGTTGTGTAGAATTATGGTCTCCTATGATATTAGTACTGCTCTATTAATAGACCTAATGCTAAAATTGTAGATCTACCGTGATATAACTGTCTGATCTATAAGACCTTACGTGGAAGTTACACCATCGTCTACACCTACTCATCGCATCGTAACAATTAACAATACATGATTGAGAATAAGCTTAGGCTAGAGATAGAACAATATATTTAACGTGAATAAATGATATAAGGTAACATTTAGCAAGGGTCATGCCCGCAAGGCTGAGCCATGCCATCCAGTCGACTCGAATTAATTCAAATCACTGTTTCCGCCTTCTTCATCGTTAAGATTTTCTCCGCGTTAAATGTTGAATATCTGTTCCCCCAATTGTCTTGTAATCAGCTTTGAGGATTGTGTAGTTAGGGCCCAGTGCAACTACAGTTGAACCGATGCCGTCATATGGAGCATGAACAGTATTTATAAAATGTGAATCTCATGAATCCATAATCATCAAACCATCCTTTATCATTAAATAAGGGATCACAGGGGATGATGTTTAGTGTTGCGCACCCACAAATGATAACGACGACGACAAGAAAGGTCAGTTTTATTAGAAGCTGTATTCGATCGTAGAGAAGTGCTTAGGAAATGACCTGATCAACATGATAGATGTAAATGCCAAATTCAGAACGGATAACACCATGTATGATGATATCACGGAACGATATTAACTGGTAGAAAGGAACGAGAATGGCGAGAGATTCGCAAATTTATGTACCTTCAACAAAATGGTAAAAGGTGGCACTATACTACTCTGCAAATTCATACATAAAGCTTGTAGTGTTAGTCATCAGTTTTAGCTCATAATATATCTGATTCTAGTTTTCGGACATTTCATTCTATTCATTCTGCTTGAGTCATATTTTGACCTTGTTATTTATTCGCTTATCAGTCTTCACTGTTTTTATATGAGCGTATATGTGTGTGCACGTCATATCCCATGACTCATTGCATGTCTGTAACTTTATTTTGTCTGACTATAAATATTTAGTAATGCTTGACTAAAATGGAGTTGGCTTCCCAGCCATCCTCCCTGCGTGTCATTTTGCTTTGCTGTTTCGTTCGCTTCATATACAAAATATATATATTCAACATCCCATTCTTGTTAATTGACTTATCTAAATTCCGTTATTGACTAACGTGATTTAAGTCGACGATGATATACGAGAAAAGGCGATAGCCATCATTCATACAATCTAAATTGGAGTCAGATCATGGGCCACTAAAATGGTAACCCCGACGTGGGAACAGGAAACGACGGTCCACTAAAATGATGAGCCCACCGACGACGAACGCAACGCAGCGAACGAAACAGCAAAGCAAAATGACACGCAGGGAGGATGGCTGGGAAGCCAACTCCATTTTAGTCAAGCATTACTAAATATTTATAGTCAGACAAAATAAAGTTACAGACATGCAATGAGTCATGGGATATGACGTGCACACACATATACGCTCATATAAAAACAGTGAAGACTGATAAGCGAATAAATAACAAGGTCAAAATATGACTCAAGCAGAATGAATAGAATGAAATGTCCGAAAACTAGAATCAGATATATTATGAGCTAAAACTGATGATTAACACTACAAGCTACATGGATTTCACCGGATCACACTACAGAGATCCAGACCGATCAAATGTTCATTAACAAGAAGAAAGGTCATTACAAACGTTTAATACAAATTTCCTTCGAGATACGGAAAAAATCAATGAATTTAGGTGGCTATCAGCAATAAGTTCCAAGCGCTATAGGGCCTACATGAAAAGAGGAAATAACCATGGAAAACAACTGATAAGTATTACCTTAGAAGCTCCAGGAACTGCTGAGCCACAAAAAGCATATCCATATCCATATTGATGCTCTTGGTATCGATATTAGAACTGACAAAATGAATATATGAACGAACTAGCAATGAAAGCAGAAAAGGAAACATGAGAACACTATAGAACACAACGAACAAACTGGCAGGCAAATATGGTAAAACAGAAAGATCAGCCACGGACAATGAAAGTAAGCCAATCACTGGGATTCTAGGATAGAGGAACAGGTGGTTAGAACACTTTCAAAAACTGCTTAATAGACCAAACCTACTGAACTCACTGGACGTTGAAGCAGGACACACCTTTCTATAAATGTCAGTTCATCAACGATCAAAGAAATCAACATGGCAATCAAACAAATCAAGTGTAGGAATGCAGCTGGACCAGACAACATACCGGCTGAAATAATGAAGTTAGACATAGAAGCAACTACAAACATACTTTACTTCTATTCAAAATATTTTGGAGGAGGAAAAGTGCCGATGGACTGGAAAGAAGGACACCTCATCAAGATTTCAAAGAAAGGAAATTTGAGCAAATGTGAAAACTACAGAGGCATTACACTACTATCAATACCTGAAAAAGTATTTAACAGAGTGTTGCTGTGCCGGATGAAAGATGCAGTAGACGCCCAACTTCGAGATCAACAATCTGGATTCCGTAAAAATCGATCGTGCACAGACCGAATTGCAACACTACGGATCATCGTCAAACAATCAGTTGAGTGGAACTCATCACTATACATCAACTTCATTGATTATGAAAAGGCATTTGACAGTGTGGATAGGAGGACTCTATGGAAACTTCTTCGATACTATGGAGTTCCTGAGAAGATTGTCAACATTATCCGAAACTCATACGACGGACTACAGTGCAAGTTCGTGCATGGAGGACAGCTGACAGACGCATTCCAAGTAAGGACCGGAGTCAGACAAGGCTGTTTACTCTCTCCCTTCCTCTTTCTTCTGGTGGTCGACTGGATTATAAAGACCTCAACATCTGAGGGAAAACACGGCATACAATGGACAGCTCAGAGCGAATTACACGATTTGGACTTCGGAGATCACCTATCCCTCCTATCGCATACACACGAACAGATACAGATAAAAACAGTCAGTGTAGCAGTAGTCTCTGCATCAGTAGGAATAATATATGTAGTATGAAGGCAATAGATACATCTAGACGACGCCTGCATGACCCGGGAATGAAGACTCGATTGAGTTAACCTTTTACGATCATCACTATATTTCGCTAAACATTCAATGTCCAGTGTTCTTTTATCTAACGTAGAAAAAAATTATCTTTATGGATGGTTTGTGGTAATGCTTTAATGTTCTTACATTGTTACTATGTAACTTAAAATTTTCACATAAAATAACTGTTCACAGTATTTTGAAAGTAGTTTCATATGTTAAGGAGGGCACATTACTTATAAAATCACTTCTCACTTTGTTCTCTCGTCTACACAAACTAAAATGTGAACCAAATGGTTTGTGCAAAATGTTTACCTGGAAAGGCCTATATGAATATTCCCAGGTTAAGGACGGACTACTTAAGTACTACTTGAAATCATGTGCAATTCTATTCCTAACTTCTGGTCCTCAGTCAGCGAACTTTTAAACATAGATATAATTTATGTAATATGATGATAAGCATCGAGTAGCTAAAGCCTAACCGAAGCAAAAATTTGTTGGAAAACCATATGGACCCCAAAGGCGACCAGTCGTAAAGGAGTTCATGACGGTAAGCTGATGTAACACTTGAAGAGAAATGCCAGACAGTTCATCTATGTTTAAAGTTGGTTATGACAATATTGTTTAGACTAACAATAAGAGCCTTCCATTTTAACTAAATAAGTCAATCAACGCGACATTACTAAGAATCATCTACGAAGTTGACAAATATTTTCTGTTATCAGTAAAAGTTCAGTCGTTTTGATTGTAGAGGAGTTATCCCTGGAGTTAATTATAGATGGTTGGGCACTATCATGATTTAGTTGAATTTAAAAATGTAAGCCGACGAAATTCAGTTTACCGGTCAATAGGCTAAACGCTCGACGAGAGACCTGAAGGTCCTGGGTTCTATCTCCTACAGGAATTTGAATGTTCACCACAGAAAGACAGAATAGTTGTCCGTTCTTTCATTAGTTTCAATGACTTTCTAACTAAGGTTGATCCTAATCTCAATAATATTCTCCATTATTGTTGATATTACTAACTAAACGGAATTAAGAATTATAACAATGGTTAATGTGAGACTAATTAAATCATTACGTGATATCACATTTTATTAAAAACTTTTGTTAGATAATTGTCAATGTCAGAACCAATCGGAAACACAACCAAAACAAAGAAGTAAACAATAACAGGTTTAAACTCAACAAGTACCAATCAATATCGAAGTCTACAGGACAAGCTATGAACCATATGTAGAGAAATTCAAACACTTCACTTCTATCTGAAGTTTGTGCTAATGATATTGTTCAGAAGAACGATGGAAACTCCACGACCAAACCATGTTGCTCAGAGAACACAACTCCTCCAACACATAACATAAAATTAAAAAGAAAAACAAACTGACAACAGTATTTTATAGAATCGAATCGATTTGTCCATTGTTTAAAACACAAAAACAGACTGAAATATGAAATATGTTGCTAATTATCATTAATTATTGTCTATTTATAATGAGAAATAAGTAGTATGTCGTCGGATATGGTTACATTTCTACTGCTAGTTCATAAGTCATATTGTTTACAAATGTTAATTAATAGATAGATAGACAGACATTGTAAAATAGACAGACACAGCACAAATAGATAGATAAACAGACAGATATACCACAAGAAGTTTTCTAAATAAATTTAGCATGATAGTAACAAATCATTCTGTTCATTCGACAAAACATTCTTAGATATTAACTAATCTCATTAAAATGTCACTTAAAGAATGTTTAACAGATGGAAATCATTCTTCAAATAATAAATCCATTGAGAATATTGATAAACGATTATTAGATAGTTCAATCATAGAGAAACCTATAGAACGTGCTCAATGGAAAGGAAAAATTGATTTTCTTATATCATGTATGGGTTTTTCAATTGGTTTAGGTAATGTATGGAGATTTCCATATTTATGTTATAAAAATGGTGGAGGTAAGTTAGTTTATTTTGTTCAGTTCAGTTCAGTTACACATGATGCTTTCCTTTTATGTATATTGAAATAAAACAGTGTTAGTGAATAATTTACTTGATTCAATGATAAAGCACTGATCGATGGCTGTTCTGATATTGAGAATTTAATATCAAGATTAAATTATATATGATTTAGTCAACAAGACTACCTCTATCTTATTTTAACATAATGCATGCAATGTTGAATCACCTAGAAGAACGATGAAAGTTTCATGACCAAACTATCCATCTCAGAGAACAAAACTCTATCAAAACCATCAACTGGAACTACAAATCTTCTTCACTATCGGGGTGAAGTTTAAATTTATTATCCATCTTTGTTTATAATACTTATGACTGAAGAAGATATTGAAGCAATACGGAAAAGATGTACATATATCAATAAAAGACTGATCAATTTGTAATCCTAAAACATCAATAAGAAGATTTTAGTAAATAAGAATACCAATTGAATTTAGATAGAAACTTAGTTTATCATGTACAGTAATTGTAAGACTTTGTATTGTGATGGGGTTTTGTTCTCTAAGCTGGATGGTTTGGTCGTGGAGCTTTCATCGTTCTTCTGAATGACATCCTCAGCACAAACTTCAGATAGAAGTATTGTTTTAATTAAAATGAGATTCATTTAATTTTCAATAATAAAGTTCGATTTTACTTTCTAGAAGTTCTTTAAATAATCGTTTTTTCATTTACTTATTCTAAGATATTTTATACTCCCCCCCTATTACCTAATTCTTAAAATAAATTTTATTCACACATTTCCACCACCTGATCCTCTTAAATTATCTTAACTTTCCAAATTCTATTTAATTATTATTACGTAATCTACCTTATGATTATTGAATTCCATTAATCTCTACAATTATCACACAATTTATGAACTTCACTAAATTATTACACCACCCACCCTAAATTAACCCCCCCTCTTTTGACCTCTGACCTGTTTCTAGCATATATATATATATATATATATATATATATATATATATATATATATATATATATATATATATATATAGTTATTATTGTAATCCAGTTATTTACACTCATTTATGTCAATTGTTTTCACACTATCTCCATGTAACACAAATTCTATCACAATTTTGGTTTGTAAGCAGCTGACGAGAAACCTCGAAATAATATGAATTCATACTATTCTGCATCAATGTTTGTTCTTGCTCTATTCAAAAAAATAAACAATGAAATTATAAAATTAAATAATCAATTATAATTTAGTTGTTAAGGAAAAAAGTTGTGACTGATTTTCAGGTTAAGTTTTTATTTGAATGTGAACCACCATTGAAAACCTAAAAGTATTGAACAGCCGTTTCATCTTATTGTTGAACTCCTCAACAGTGTGTATCCACGATCCTGTCTTGTGAGATTTGAATCCATAACCTATTGGTTTCGCGAGCGAACTCCTAACTTCTAGGCTACTGAGCCGGCCGGCATTCAAGGGTGTTAATATTTAACTTCAATCAATCCACGAAGTTGTTCCACCGTTTACTGTTTTCATCAGTGAGTTACTATTTCACAACAGGCCCAGTTGAACTCCACTGATCACGGCTTCTCACTAGAACTCCAGGAAAAACTTCTTGGAGACCGTCGTTAAGCGCTCGCGAGCGAGACTGATAGATCTTGGGTTCAAATCTCAAGTGGGAGATAAATATCAGGTATTGATGTGGAGTTAACTACCGTAGTAGTTTACAGTAATTGATCACTGGCGAACAGCTAAATAATGATATAGATAACTGTAAAACTTAGTGGCACAGATTTCATCCACACGAAGAAAATCAATTAAGTTGAGATTAAAGATGATTTTCTAGCTCGAGACTGAAAATGTCTTAAAGATTAATTTCAACCGTCTACAATGAATATCAATGATAATCTTGTAGAATATTGCGTTTTGATCAAGATTATTGAGATTTTCAGGTAATGTTCATCATGAACTAATCTCACTAAATAATCGATCAAAGAAGTCTATTACCATGACATAATAATTATACATTGTTCTCATGTTTTCAACATTATGCTGCAACTTAGGTTACTTTGTGATAAACACTACCCATATACGATATTCTTGAACTATGAAGCTAGATGATATATATTTGGATCTCCCAAATATTATCAGTCAACAAGTGCATATGTGACTTGTTGATGATTTTCAACTAGAATGAACCTATGTTCACAGTTTCTCACTGATCACCTTCAACCATCGAACATCAATTACCAATTATGCTACATAACATTACTGAAATAAAAGTAATTAGTCAGTGTTTTCATAACTATAACTATAACTGCTAGATATAAAAAAATGATTTCGTATTCTTTCTTATGAGTTATTGGTAATGCTACACCTTGTAGCCTTATGCTCTATTAATATATAACTTAATGGTACCACCAATTAGAGAACAAAGACTTATTGACTGGACTAATGACGCATAAAACCTGTACGAGCAGTCTAGAGTCTTTATCGGTTCTTCTTCCTGCCTAGCTCTGTCTGTTTAGTCCAGAACACCAGTCTCAGCCTCCGCAATATGAATTATGTATTTCAAATATACTGGGTTTATGTATAAACCAAATATACCATATCGTACCATAAAATAGGAAATGACATTTGAACAAGATGAAGCCAAAAGTTGTTGTGAATATGGGAAATAGTAATTGATAGACAGGTCATAACTCAAGAATAGTCAGTCGTATAATAATAAGCTATGGGTCAAAATAAAGCTTATAATAAGAGGGACAGGAATATGCAGATAGTTTAGCTACTTAACAACTATACAATAAAAATATATGTATCGTATTAGTTCGTAACAAGCCCTAACTTGGGATCCTGTAGGGAAACGGAAAAGAGGAAAGCCAAAGAACACATTACGTCTGAAAATATAAGCAGATATGAAAAGGATGAATAACAACCGGAAAGAGCTGGAAAGGATTTCCCAAGACAGGGTTTGATGGACAGTACTGGTGGGCAGCCTATGCTCCTCTACGAGGAGTAACAGGCGTAAGTAAGTAGTTAGTCTCTAATCGTTCCCAACAGTTACCATTCATAATTCACGACGGGCTATAACAGGTAAAGTGGCTATTTTTGTAACATACAAAAGGCTGAGACTTAACCAGAATATTATCATTCATCTAAATAATCTAAATAATTTAATTAAAACTTAATGTAAAAGAAAAGAAAAAAAAATACTATTGAATTCTATTTTGTTCTTTGATTTACTTAGGTGCTTTCCTTATCCCTTATTTCATCAGTGTCTTCTTAGCTGGTATACCATTATTTCTATTAGAAGTAACTGTTGGACAAGTAACACGTCGTGGAGTTATTGCTGCTTGGAATATCTGTCCATTGTTTCAAGGTAAACTTTAATAATTTTATGAATGATATTTATATTGATTCATGAAAGTTTAAGTGGAATAAACTGAGCTAAAACCTTGATTATAATCATTGTAGATAAGTTTAATCGATCCAGTAAAATCAGTTTTATTGAACAATGATTCGTGGAGGCTGAGATTAGTGTTCTAAGCTTAACATATAGGGATAGCTGGAAAAAGGACCATTTGGAACTTTAGGTTGCATATACGGGTGTATGCGCCATTAGTTTGGTCGTATAAGTTGGAGTAACTAAATTGTCAAGCGTATTTCACGATAATCATATAGCTAACAACATAACAGATACCACTTAGTAAATTGGAATAAGATTGCTTCTAAATGTATTCAGTTATAATATGTTCTAACGTCACTAAGCTCTGTGCTGAACCTTACTTACTTACGCCTGTTGCTCCCCAATTGAGCATAGGCCTCCAACCAGCATTCTCCAACGCACTCTGTCGTGGGCATTCCTTTCCAGATCTATCCAATTTCTGTTTATTCTTCTCATGTCTGTCTCCATTTCATGGCTTTCACCAAGTTCTGTGTTGAACCAAAGCATTTAAATTACAGAAAAGATTAGTATTCAGTGAAAGTAACTTCGACACTTTTGCTCTTTAGAAGTTTATTACCTTCTTACCAATTTTATTGTTCCGAAAATAAAAGCCTGAAAAATACCTTAAGTGTAAAAATGCAGTTATACTTCTAAATAGTATCATTCAATACATAATCCGACAAGATTATCAATACTCTTGCAATTATAGCATTGTACGTTTCAACGAACATTACACTTTTCTGGAAATTCTTCATCAAACTTACTTACGCCTGTTAACCCTGATAGAGGAACATAGGCCGCTCACCAGCGTTCTCTATCCAACTCTATCCTGGACAATACTATCCATTTGTCTCCAGTTCCTATTCATCCTGTTCATGTCTGCTTCCGATTCCCGACGCATTCTGTTCTTCGGCCTTCTTCTTTTCCGTTTCGCTTCACAATTCCAAGTTAAGGCTTACCAGGTGGTTCAGTTTTATGATTCCCACAATCTTTGTCCTATCTACATCCAACTTCCTTTCCTAATTTCCTTCTTATTTGGAAGCTGGTTTATTCTCTTCAACAGATCATCAGACATTGAGCATCTTGAGTAGACACACACATGCACTTATTTGATGATGGTCGTGGTAGTGCTCGAAGGTTCAGCTCTGTACAGTAGAACTGTTTTGACGTTCGTATCGAAGATTGTGACTTTGATCTTAACTTACAGACAGTTGTTTTGAGTTGCATATGTTGTTCAACTGTGAAAATACTGTCCAGTGCGTCTGTAATACATCCTTTACATTCATTTTTGATGAAACCCAGTCATCTTCAAATCTTCATCATTAACCCATAGTGATTATAAAGAATATAGGTTGGTTGCTTAGTTGCTATAAACGGATGTTCATGGGATAGTTTATTTCTTTTTTTTTAACGTTAGAAGAGATTCTATTTTGATGAAGTTGTGTTCTCTGAGAGGATAGTTTGGTCATGAAGTTTTCATCGTTCTTCTGAACAATATCATTAGCGCAAACTTCAGATAGAAGTGAAGTGTTTGAATTTCTCCACATATGGTTCATAGCTTGTCCTGTAGACTTCGATATTAATTGGTACTTGTTGAGTTTAAACCTGTTATTGTTTATTTCTTTGTTTTGGTTGTATATCTCATCGGTTTGATTTTTGTTCCTATGTTTCTCCATAATTTTCCTGATTGGTTGACAAATTGGATCGATCCATCCAGTTCAAAGAACAAAACTCCATCATAATCATCCACCTGAAGTGTAAATCTTCTCCATCATCTCGAGAGATTCTATGTATCACAGATTTCTATTCCACCGTTTCTATTCTAATTTCATAGAACTAAATCAAGTTTCATCCAATAATTAATCATGTCCAGTGTATGACAGTTTAATCGGAAATAAGTTGTCATCTTATAACAATACAAAAACAAAAATTGATCTCACCATGAAAATTGGGCAATATACACTTGAGAATTCTGACATTCACTCACAATACTTTAATATGCTATACATATATCTATATATCTGAAGGGAGTTTTTTCTGGATATTATGGTACTTTTAATAGTTGAGATCATGAGTCGATTGAAGCTAGATTAGCATGGAAAACCTGGAAGTACTGGACCACCGTTTCGTCTTGTTATAGGACTCCTCAGTAGTGCGCATAAACGATTCCGCTTCGTGATATTCGAAATAAGAAATCTGATTGCAATTTTTATTAAAGTGAAGAAACATACAGTAAAAGATCTACCTGCTGGTCATATACAGAATCCCTTATATATGGACGAATGATTTAGATTTGAAAGTACATCAGAGGTCTTTTCTTCATTCCTCACCATAAATAGCTAATTACATTTCAGCAAACATTAGTAAAGTAATTTAAAGTGTGAAACATACATAAAAATCATGTAAAAGTTGTAATGCTATCAGGCTGTTTATGCCTTGAGTTATTATTCAACAACTAATCACCTTACATATCATGATAATAGTGACCAAAGTTGTATTCCTGTAAACCAAAATCGAATTTCCAATATTTTTCTTAAATGAAACACCAAACACTTGAACTTTCATAGTCCATCATTGAAATAAGAATTGTTTTAGAAATGAAAAGATAGTCAAAGATAAAACAATTTCGTGGATTTGATGAAGTTAGATATTAACACCCTCGAATGCTGACCGTCTCACTGGTTTAGAGGCTAAGCATCCGCGCGCGAAACCGATAGGTCTTAGGTTCAAATCTCATGAGGCGGGATCGTAGATGCACACTGTTGAGGAGTTCAACAATAGGACGAAACAGCCGTCCAGTACTTCCAGGTTTGCAATGATGGTCTAGCTTCAACTTACTCATGAATTCAGTCATTAAACAAAAACTTTAGTAAAAGAATGTATAAAACAATTTTTATGTTAAGTTTACATTAAAAAAAACGACAAACTATGGACGCCTAAAACTTTGTGAAACTGAAAATGGCAAGACTATAATATATGGATCAACCAATCACGTATAAGATAACGAGTCTCGATTTTTGGCGCAAAATTCATTCATCCACTTGGCCAAATAGAGTTTTGCCATTATAGATGATGTCAGTTCGTGATGAAAACCCTAAATCTAATTTTAAACCCTAATCATCAACTGCAAATGAGAATTCTAACTAGTTTATAACTTTTATTTAGTTCTTATCAGTAGGTGTCCACTCTCATGGTCACTTCAGCGTTGCTCAAAAATTGTCCATAAATTATAGTCTCATCCTGAAAATATACGAATGTGAACTACTTATTCATTACTAAAATACACATATCACTTGTAGATACATTAATGAATGAATTTAGGCGGTATATGTTGAATGTATTATGAATGATATCTGTATAATTATAACATTATAACAAAGTAATCTTATTAAATCACTTAGTTTAGTAACCATTTAAATAGTTATGACTAAGTAGTAAGTTATGTATTTCATTTCATTTTCATCTTTATTATTTTCAAGGTATTGGTTATGCGTGTACATTGATTAACTTCTTCCTCAATTGCTATTACACTGTGATAATGGCATGGGCATTTCATTTTATTTTTTCATCATTCACAAGTCAATTACCATGGACAAGATGTGATCAATCATGGAATACACCAGCATGTCGAGTTTTCACTAATCAACCAATAAATTCAAGTACAATTGAAAATACTACTCATATTAGTAATATAAGCTTAATAACAGTTGATGCAACTACAGAATATTGGGAGTAAGTACATTATGATTGAATTGATTTCTTACTGTTGACAGATTTATGAATGACTAGTAGCCTAATCTTATAGTCTTTGAAGTAAGAATTAGGTAATAGGCTATTGTTTTACTGTTCATTAAACCAGTAGTATCCTTAAATGATGATTTTGTGAAGATTTTATGAAAAGTTTTAAAATCATTTATTTTCAAATCTCCGAAATCTGTGTAATCAAATTAGTGAAATCTATTGACTAGGTTACAGTGGTGAGTAAATATCAACATTTTTGATAATACATTAAATCAACATACTGATTGATGAAAAAGTTGACAAAGTTAAAATCGATATTTATGAAATAATTCAGTCAGGAATCTTCGTATTCAGATTTCAACTCATTGTCTCATTAGTTTAAACCTCTTTCAGATGCATTAATGGCAGAATATGATTTTAGACATGTCAAATTAAGAAATTATAACCTAATACATACTTATCTACTTATTTACACCGGTTACCCCTCGTGATAGAACATAGGCCGACCACAGACATTCTCCATCCAAATCTGTTCTCGACAGTTCTTTCCAGTTGTTATTCATCCTTTTGATATCTGCTTCCGATTTCGGACACAGTATGTTTTTCTGTCTTTCTTCTTTTTTTGTCCCTTCAGAATTCCAAGTTAGGGTCAAATGATTTCTAAGATCCTAATATATATATATCCGGTTAGAAGTGAAAATTGGAAAACAGATTCCTCAAATTGTAGAATAAACTATACAGTAGAACTAGTCCGGTTATTTAACCGCATGAATCAAAATCCTAATCGTCTATACGTCGACATATTTTAAATCTCGGTATGGAATAAGACGTTTTCATATAAAGAATTCTCATGGTATCTTACCAAATAGAATGGTATTCATGGTATCTGCAGAATGATTACTTAATGATTCCTATCTGAAATAATATTTGATTGGCAAACCATTGGTCACTTATGAAGTTAATTAACGATGCCTATAACAAGTTTCTTTGAGAAAATTTTTGTCAACTTAAAGTGACTACTAATTCAAGCAAATTACACCCTTGTCATTACATCAATTATTTCAAAGAAATCAAGTGGTATGATATATGAAACCATCAACGTGATGATGATTATTTATTTAAATGCATAAGCGTTAGTACTAGGAGGCATCAGATAGATATGCACCACATAAATCATTCGATTTGTATGAGGGATGGGATACTTACCGGTCACTCAAACCGAAATCAGTGGTTTTCTCGCGGTGCTACACTCGGATCCTTCGACCTACAGGTCTCATCCACAAGGCAGTGGAGCAACGTTAGGACATGTAGTCCCATGGTAACCGGTGACCAATAATTGGTTCATACTCCGTTTGTTCTCTCAGGATACTGGAGCCCATGTTCACCAATAGTTTGAAATCAGGGTTTTCCAACTCCCTGAGGTGGATTCTATACATCCACCAACTCGATAAAGAGTCGGACATTCAAATTTTCGTACTCTCAATTTCGTAAACAATAGTAATGCCACGATAAGGTAGTGGGTAGGACTTTCCTGTTAGTGGCTGTGTACGCTTGACAATGTGAGAGCATTTCGAGAGAGAGAGAGAGAGAGAGGGAGAGTTAATTGACCACTCTCGGTCGTACCAGTGTTATCAACTTGAAGAACAGTCAATGCAATAAAACGTGTTCATTGATCACAATAAAATCATGTTTAAGATTATGAAAACTTCAAATTGAATAGTGTTGCAGTGAACACGAACATCATTGTGGACAATCGGATGTATTTAACACAACATTACAGGACTTGTTAAGAAAATCTAACAATCATATAGTAAACGCTTAGTTTGCAAAATGTCCATCAGTTGTCTCATAATGACTCAGACTTCAGTGTTCTTGCATTTTCACACAAGTTGCATTCTGTTTCGATTCTTCACTGTTCGATCCTCTTGTGTCTCTGCTGCCAGACATTCTGTTCCTGATTAACATCATTTACTACTTATGTCGATATAAGTAGCACACACCACAGTGTGACCTTAAAGACAATTTTTTAAGAATACATTTGTAAGTAATACATAATGACAACTATAATCTAAAGAAAATAACAAGGAATAGTTCTAGGAATAACCAACAAACTCACTATTCATATATTCTGTTATGATATTTAGAATAACTGGAAGTTATGTTGTATACAATGTTGTTATAATGTATGTTTACTTCTAGATGAGTCAATTTTGAGGTATCCTTCAGTCAATGTATCGTATACCCGCACATTTCGACCTTTTCTTTCTTTTTAACAGACGTCGTGTACTGAAAATATCGGATGGTATACATGATATTGGTACAGTACAGTGGGATTTAGCTTTGTGTCTCCTTCTCACTTGGGTTATTATATATTTATGCATTTGGAAAGGGATTAAAACATCAGCCAAGGTAAATAATTAATGATATTTAGTGTTGCTGGCTAGTATGATAGTTTATGTTTAGATTAACTCATGAGTAAATGTTTTCCAACACAAAACCAATTAAAACTAAGGAGGATTGATTTGATGTTTCGCTTTAGCCTGAGACTCTTTAAGAAAGTGGGTCAACGACCTATCATATAATCAAATATGGTATCTTCAGTGCTAGATATTTCAGTCATGTTAGAAATGTGACAGACATCACCAATGACACTGGATTTTAAATTCTTTATATCTTGAATAAGCTGAAGTTGAAAATATCACCCGTAAAATTATTATTCAGCAATCTATCAAAATAATGCTACGGGTGGTGAAGAAGATTTGTAGCTAAGATAGATGATTTTGATGAAGTTTTTTTCTCTGAAGTGGATGGTTTAGTCATAGAGGTTTCATCGTCATTTTGAATGACATCTTCAGCACAAACTTCAGATACTTCAGGAACATTTACCTGAAGTTTGTGCTACTGATAATTCCCCACCATCACAAAGTCCACTATCTAGACGCGATTACTTACTTACTTACGCCTGTTACTCCCAAAGAAGTATAGGCCTCCGACCAGCATTCTCCAACACACTCTGTCATGAGCTTTCCTTTCCAGTTCTATCCAATTTTTGTTCATTTTTCTCATGTTTGTCTCCATTTCTCGACGTGATGTGTTCTTTGGTCTTCCTATTCTCCTTTGGCCTTGGGGATTCCATGTGGGGATTTGTCTTGTGATGCAGTTCGGTACTTTCCTTAATGTGTGTTCTATCCACTTACAACGCTTTTTCTTGATTTCCTCCTTCACTGGAATCTGATTTGTCTTCTCCCACAGTAGATTGTTGCTAATATTGTCTGGCCAACGGACCCGAAGTATTTTGCGTAGACAACTATTAATAAACACCTGTATCTTCTGGATGATGGCTTTCGTAGTTCTCCAGGTTTCCGCCCCATACAACAGTAGAACTGTCTTTACATTTGTATTGAAAATCCTGACCTTGGTGTTGGTTGACAGTTGTTTTGAGTTCCAGATGTTCTTCAATTGTAAATATACTGCTCTTGCTTTACTGATCCGTGCTTACACATCTGCATCAAATCCACCATGTTCATCAATGATGCTGCCCAAATATGTAAAGGTTTTTATATAGACTTGATTACTGAATACAATCTATTCTTTCTAAATACTGATTATCTAGATTAAAGTAGTTGATTTGGTTCATATAAGATTTATTGGTTGTTACTATGTACTAGTATGAATTCATAATTATAAATTTTATTGATGTATTCTATTTCATCAATTTCTTTATGACAATAAGTTATTCAGTATAGAACACTATAGAATACATCTAAGACAATCAACTATTTCTAATTAGGCTATATAATGTTGTACAGTATGTTTTTCTGTACAGAACTTGAATTGTTTTGTTGTTCTAAATGTAGATAGATACTAGTTCAGGTTTAACATTCCATATATGGCCATATGGTCCTTCCTTTTTTTTTTAATAAAAAAAAATGATTAAACTTATATCTTTTACCAGGAACTCAAATCTTTTAATTATAAAGTAGTAAATGTAATTTGTACTATACAATACAACAATTTTCAGACTACATAGGTTATATGAACTTATGATAAGAGAAAAAAATTTCATAATGAGTCTAAAGATGAACCTTAGTGATGAATTAGATGGTGGTTGGAAGTAGTCAACAGGAAACCATGGACCCGGGTTTCGTGTTACTTGGCACTCGTCAGCAAGGTGTACCTGTAATCTTGAGGGAACTGGTGCTCCCTGGCGAATTCGATCCCGTTGCACACAACTTCACAGTCAGAGACGTTACAACTGAGTTATCTGGGCTGCGACTGACCTCCTGTAGGACTGGGACGTATATACAATTGATTGATCACTGGGTGGTGATCAATGTCATGTGTGTCATGTCCTTATTTAGTGCAGATCGAATGATTTCGACCATGTAATGAATAGATTTCAAATTTGTTTTGATAAATCTGTTAACTTCTTCAAGTTAGATCATACCATTGTTTTGTTTTTACTGAAATGAACAAGCTGATTGATATGTACCAAGGTGGCCTTCTTGAATATCTGAGTTACCTGTTCTTGCTATCAACACATCTCAACAAGTTCTCTGTTTTTTTGTTTCTTTTAACACAACATTATCCTTATTAGTCTCATAATCTATTTAGGTGCGTTTGTGAAAACTTTACTACATTTCTCTGTACAACTTACAAAAGAGCCTATTCAGAGACGTTGTAGTTACTGTCAATATGCAGCGAACAGAATATACATTATTCAGATGGCGATTGACTAGACTGCTAACATCTAACTGGCAATTACTCAAATATGTTAACGTCAGAATCGATCAAGAAATAAGAAACGGAAACTTGTTAACTACTTCTCACTAAGAATTCTATATTGTACCAAAAACTATAACACTGAATAAACCCACTAATAATAATAATAATAATAATAATAATAATAATAATAATAATAATAATAATATATTATCTAAAGTTCTAGTTCTTAGTACAATTTGATTGTCCAGTGATAGAAGTATCATCAAAACTTGGTGGCTGTCTCTAGGGTAAAATTCAGTGTTTTTCTTACAAAATGTACAACTCAAACGATATAACTAATCCATATGCAATTACTATCTGATCACTGATCTAGTCAATAAAACTATATAGGGAATTCTGAATTTCAATTACTATATTTAATCAAAATCATTCACTTGACTACTGATATATTTTAGTAGTATCAATACATTTCCCTATTTTTTCTTGAATGAGCACTATTGAGGAGTCCCATAATAAGACGAAACGGTCATCCACTGCTTCCAGATTTTCCATGGTGGTCTAGTTCCAATTGACTCATGAATTCAACTATTGAAACTTCTAAGTGAATTTTAACTTTCTTTGTTGTTGATTAATTAACATATTTTTTGTTCTTATCCCCAATTAAATTATTTTGCTTATAAATGCTTTATTTATATAAGCAAAGATGGATGGTGGCTAACAGTGGAATCCAAGATGCGCGTTTATCCTGTTTTGAACTCATCAATTCGATATACCTATATCTCAGAGATGATGTTCACTACAGACTCGAACACAATATCGTTCGATTCAAACGCCATCGAGTTATCTACTTAGCTACTGATTCCTTAAGACAATATTGAGGCAGTCCTCACAGGATGCATGTACACCAATAAGAGACTGATCAATTACAGTCCTAAACAACAAGTTAACAGCATCAGGTGAATTTATACTATCTTCTTATTTTATTTATTCTAGATTATGTATGTGACTGCACTTTTGCCTTACGTATTCATAATTACTCTATTAATACGAACTGCCTTACTTGATGGTGCTTCAAATGGATTGGTTCATTATTTAAAACCAAATTGGTCAAAATTAACTGATATGACAGTAAGTGCTATTATCGATCATATGTGCCTTTCTCTTCTTATGTTACGTTGACTGAAAGATGTAAACTACAGGATGGATACTTAATAGTTCAAAATGATTTTTATGGTTGATAACAAATTCCAGTGTTCATTAATTAACTTAACCCACACTCATGATTAATTTGTATGATCTGGTTGTCGATGAACAAGGAGGGTTTGATGAAGACGTAAATGAGAGGATTGGCAAAGCAAGGGCCACATTCCTACAACTAAAGAATATATAGAACTCAAAAAAACTTTAAATCAATATCAAAGTCACAATCTTCAATACGAACGTCAACACAGTTCTACTGTACAGAGCTGAAAATTGGAGAGCTACAACAACCTCCATCAAGAGGTTACAAGTATTTGTAAACAGCTGTCTACGTAAGATATTCAATATACGTTGTCGACCGGATACCATCAACAACAACCTACTGTGGGGGAGAGCGAACCAGCTTCCAGCTGAGGAGGAAATAAGGAAAAGAAGTTGGAGGTGGATGGGTCATACATTTCGGAAATCATCAATCTACAAAACAAGGCAAATCCTAACCTGAAATCCTGAAGAGAAACAGAAAAGAGAAAGACTAAAGAACACACTACGTTAGGAATTGGAAGCAGATATCAAAAGGATGAATATCAGTGGCAAATAACTGGAAAGGATTGACCAGAAGGACTTTGAATGAAGAATGTTGTTGGTCGGCCTATGTACCCCTTCAAGGGGTAACAGGCGTACGTACACTCATGATAAACAATTTTTTTACGAGAGGCTTTAAAATGACTTAATCTTCTTACAGCAATTATCACCCTATATTGGCAGACCAAATGACGACATACGGCGATACACCAAACAGTAAGGATACTGACTATTTTACTGTTTTGCTGACAGAAATTTAGCGAAGTATTAACATTAAAGACAGTCAAACATTTCGCAAGTGTTATCATAGTTTTATACTTAATACCTATCTATGTATATTACCGCTTATCACTGATGGCATTACTTCTTTAGCATGCTTAACTAAAATCCTTTTTTCAAAACTTATGATTATATTTCAAGGTGTGGTCTGATGCAGGGACTCAAATCTTTTTCAGTTATAGTATTGGTTTAGGCGTTCTAACAGCATTTGGAAGTTATAATAAAGTTCAACACAATTCATTTCGGTAAGTGAAAGCTTAAACTATTTGAACATATTGGTTATTTATCTGTTTACAGTTAATTATTCAACCTTATTTTATCTGATCTCTAATAGGACTTGTCCGATAGAAACGATAAGAAACCAACTATCTATAACTGACTGATCACTGGATGATGATCAATGTCATTTATGTTAAGTGCTTTTCAGTGCAGATCGGATCCTATCGACCAAATGACAATGTGGTCACCAATCTAGGTGACTCGACATTGCGTGCACTAGGTTGAGATAAGATGGTAGTTGTAGGTAGACAGCAATAAACCCCTGAACTAGGTTTCGTGCTACTTGTCAGCCGTCACAAAGGCGTACCTGTAATATTGAAGGAACTGATGCTCCCTGACGGATTTTTCCCCGTGTCATCCAGCTTCACAGTCAGAGACCGTTACCACTGGGTTATCTGGGCCACGATCGACCTCCTGTAGGACTGAGACGTATTTACAATTGATTGATCACTGGGTGGTGATCAATGTCATGTATGTTAGATCTTTCTTAGTACAGCTGGGCGACACGAGATTGAGTTCGTCAGGGGGCATCATTTCCCTTAAGATTAAAGGTACACCTTGCTGACGAGTGCCAAGTAGCACGAAATCAGCTATCGTTTTACACTTAATGTTTAAACAAATATATTCCTTCCACTCTAGTTGCGACTAAGTTGTACGAGTCAGTATTCATTTGCGACTTTTAGTAAGCTTCAGTACTGATAAACACAAGATTTAAGTTTTGGATACTGCGTACAACCGTGCATTGAATTTCTATGTGTTTTATTAGCCAGGGTTGAGTTTTGGAGTTGTCATTACTTCAAGTCCATATTTTGAATATTACACCCTATGGCAACCTATGGGAACCCAAATTTTAAAAAACCTATAAGTATAGTGTTTGTAGTAGATTGGTGTAGTATTTAGTGGATCTTTGAAAAAGCTTGCTAATATAGACAAGACTATAATCTATGGATGATTTAGGATAACAGGTCTTGGATTTCAGAGAGAAGTTCACTCATCCATTTAGCTAAATAGCGTCTTGACATTTTAGCTGATATCCGTTCGTGATGTAAACCCTAAATCTAATCCCTATCCTTAACCGTCAACTGTAAATCACATTCCTTATCCTTCACAAAGGTTTAAAATCCTCATTTAACCCTGATCATTAAGTGGATATTCCCAAGGTCAATTTAGCGTCGATCAAAGGTCTTCCATAACTTATAATCTCTTATAATTTCTTAATAAAATAAAATACAAAAATTATGATCATCATTAAGTTGAATGACATCACCAACATGAAATATGGAAATGGTTTAATATTCCACTACAGTGGTAGTACTTGTAAATGACTATACTCCTTTTCTTTATGTAATTGATGAACCATAATGAATACCATTCACATACAAATACAAAATTAGTTTCAATGTAGCAATTTGGAAGACTCTTCTGGTCTCACACATTGTATGAGCATTCCATGTACATAAATTAATAATTGCTCTGGTTGTCAGAAGGGGCATCAGCCTCGTGAATTCTAAAGGAAATCGGCTTTCACCATGAGGTGTCATAACCCTTCTAAATGAAGACCTACCAACTTCCAGGACAGAGTTTAAATGGTTTAAATCAATTTTTTCTGGTTAGCATTTTTTAAGCGAGTTATTTTTCTACGAGATGGGGTCGCCAACTTCATGCCCAGCTAACCTCCTTCATCTGGGCCTGGGACTGGCAGTAACCCCAGAGGGGCTCCAAAAGAAGTTATTAGTTTCAATGGAACTACAGTAAAAATTTGTATGCTGGAGTAAACTGTTATACAAAGCTTGAAATGATAATCTTTTTCATAAATTATAACTGAACAATATATATTACACATACATTATATTCTAGAGATTGTTGTTTATTCGCTCTGGCTAATACATTTACAAGTTTATTATCTGGATGTGTTATATTTTGTACACTTGGTTATATGTCATATATATCAAATATACCATTGGATCAAATAGCTGAATCTGGTCCTGGACTTGGTTTTATTGTATATCCAAAAGCAATTGGTACTATGCCAGGTAGCCCATTCTGGTCAATATGTTTTTTTATTATGATTATCCTATTGGGTATTGACAGTATGGTAAGTGAGCATATCATTACTTTTGTATGCATATGATGTATTTATCCAGTATTATTGATGTTTCAGTATGCTTTAAATTTATTGGAAGCAATAAGCCTTGATAGAGAGTTGCTTCAAATAATGTTTAACATTACGGGTTTAGGCTATTGCTGGTCTAACGTTGATCCATTCAGGATATCAATGTGAACTCAACAATAGTCTTGAGGTTGAGCGTTTGCTCGAGATCAAAGGTCCTGGGTTCGAATCCCATGGGTGGTATCGTGGATGCGCATTGCTGAGGAGTCTCATACTAGAACGAAACGATCTTCCAGTGTTTTCAGATTTTCAATGGTAGTCTGACATCGATCCATTCATGATATCGATCTGAACTCAACAATCTCAACGACCCTAGATTGATAATTAAAAATATTAGGTTCTAGAAAAATATTTGTGAAATACTATTCTAAGGTGAACTTGATTGTGAAATTCTCTACCTTTCATTGATCGATAAGCGCTGTTAAAATTGGTCGTATTGAATGACAATTTCGCAACAAACTGATGTAAGTATTCCAAATAACCATTGTTGTCTGTTCTACTATTCTAGATTTTATTATTCAAGGCCACATTTTAGATAATTAATTAGATAATCAACATTAATTACCGTTAAATCAAGAAATTATTACAAAAATTAGTAGCCTATAATAACTCTAAAACATCAGGAAACCTAAGTTCAAGATTTCCTGTTAAATATCTACTACCATCAAACATTTCAACATAGTGCATGGGATGTTTGGTGGCTTAGACTTACTGTAGTGAACAAGAACACGGGCGGGGACAAACGGATGGATTTAGCACAACAATTACAGACTCTCTTAACAAAATCCGAATACCATACAGTAAATCGTCAATTTGCAAAATATTCATGCATCAAACCAAACTGGACTGTTTCTGTTGCAAACACCAACCCATTGTCTCCCATTCCATTGTTCATGCATTTTCTTACAAATTCCATTGTGTTCTCGCTCTACCTTTCTTGATCTTCGCCATCTTCCGCTGCCAGACATTACGTTCTTTTAACGCACGTTATATACTACTTATATCAATATAAGTAGCTCACATCACACTATGACCACATTGCAAATTGATCAATAAAACTAGATCTATAAAAAAAGGATTAAACAAACGTAATATTGGTCACCGCTTAGAGATCAGTCAGTTATATAAGGAGTCAGAAGAGATCCAAATACCTAAGTAGTAATATCTCACTATGTGAAGCTGAGTGACATAGGATCAAATCTGCTAGTAGTACCAGTTCCCTTTAGAATGCGGGTGAACCTAGCTGACGAGAGCTAAGTAACAAGGAACCTAGGTGTAGGGTATCCTTACGACTACTTACAACTACCTAATTGCTTTTATTAGATCCTGAAACTCATCTCTTTCGGCAATTTACTGTTTTCCATGATCCTTTACCAATAAAATTGATGATACTTTTGTTTCTCAAATGCTTTCTAATTAGTTTGCTGGAGTTGAAGGATTTATTGCAGCTGCAGGAGATTATTTTCCTCTTGCTTTGGCGAATAAATGGATTCGTTGTATATTTGTCGGTTGTGTATGTATTGCATCATATTTAGTTGGTCTATCAATGGTCACTAATGTAAGTTGATTCACTTTTTCTTTCTTGATCTCAACTTAAGTGAATTTTCTATTTACTAAGCTCTCTAACAATGAGGAATGGAGCAAATTAAAAGATAATTTAAAGCAATGTAAAACTAGAGTCAGAACTGAGAATTCTTAGTTCACAGAGTCAACCATAGAAGTTGGCGAAATTTATGACTCCGTTGATGTTTCGAAATTCCCCTCGCCAACATTTTCGTTAGGAAAGTTATTTTAATGTGTAATTATTTGTTTTCATGAGCATTGACAGTGGCCTAAGAAATGAAATTTTTTTGCAAATACTAAGAAATATCTGACAACCACTTCATATTTTCTGTTGATTAAACACAAAGTAATAACCAGTGAAGTTCAACCAGGTCTGTTGTGAGAAAGTAATTTACTGAAGACAATGGTGGATGGTGGCTCAATTTTGTGGATTGGTTGAAGTTAGATATTAACACCGTTGGATGCCCGCTCAGTCTCGCGTGTGAGACCGATGGGCCTTGGGTTCGAATCCCACGGGCAGGATCGTGTATGCGCACTGCTGAGAAGTCCCTCAATAGGAAGAAATGATTGTCTAGTGCTTCCAGATTTTCCATGGTGGTACAGCTCTAAATGACTCATGAATTCAACGATTAAATTACTATAATGTCAACAAAACCCTTTCTGATAATTAAACAATAGACAACAATTATACAATAAGGAGAGTATACTAAAATAAAAAGAGGATATAATGGTAGAGTTACTTATTGTTTATCAGAGTTGCACTGGACATTATTTGTAAAATATGTAAGGATTGCTGAAGCTTATCTTAGAACGTTAACTAACTTAAACTAAGTTAAATTTTGAATGTTCGTGGAGGATGCCAATGTGAAAGCTCTGTTCTAACCAAACAGGTGTTGGGGATGCTTGATTCCCAGAAATCACTTGGTGAACGTTTCATCTTTTTGGTTTTATTTTCGAAATTTGAAGTCTTTGTTTTCGCGCTAAAGATGTCCACTGTAACCTTCAGTTTGTATTTCCCACTTGGAAGGACGTTAAATGTAATCAGTTTGTTTCCTCTTTTAGTACTCTATGTTTTTGGCGTTTTCCGAGGACATTTTCGTGCTGTACACATGAGTTGTGTGCTTATCTTTCGTTCTTCCGGGCTGCTTGAGAAATATATATATATTTTTTCCCACATGAATCTGGTCTTCCTGCTCAATTTGGTAGGGCTGGAGCACAGTGGAACAGCTTAGTTTGTCCTGTTGTAGTGTTGTTGAATTTAGTTCCGTTTACTGGTTTTAGGTGATATCGTAATCTTTTCAAAAGTAGCAAGGAGAAAGAAGTTTGTCCTCCATTCATTTACCTTGTCACATTTTCCATCAATATACAATAACTCTTCTCTTTATTTTATACATTTTTCTTTAGGGTGGAATGTATGTATTTCAACTATTTGATTATTACAGCGGAAGTCGTATCATATTAATCGTAGGATTATTAGAATCATCAGTGATTGGATACATTTATGGCGAGTTTAAATACAGTTTATAAAAGGAAATCAATTCTTATCATTCATTTTTGTATTGGTTGTTTGAATTTTACTATTGATGTTTAAGACCACAATTGATCAGTTTCTTATTACCATATGTGCATCCTGTGGTGATTGCCTCGATATTGTCATAAGTCACAAACATGCAGATACATCCGGCTGACGATCCCCAAAATAGGACGAAACACGCATCCTGGGTTCCACTGCTAGCCATCATTCATCTCTGCCTATAAATGTTCTTATCACTCAATCCACCAGCTATAAACTATATAGAACCTGACACACCTATACATGAGGCAAAGTTATTATGCTACATCAGTACAATGAGCTCAGTTTATCAAGATCAATACTAAAGTAATACATATATCTGTGGCAACCATAAAGATTATCCATAGAGAATATGATTAAAGAAGAAAGAACTAGTTCGTAGAATAAAAAGTATACAATGATTTTAAAGCTCATGATTTAAACAAAAAAATCAGAGAGTGAATGCATCTGTATCATCGAAACCGATTCTTCTATACGACAAAACTTCTGAGAATAAGAAATCTTGGACAAATGAGAAACGAACCAAATCTCTCATAATGCTGTATTCCGTTCCATGGTATAATATTGTCATGAAATGTAAAAACATATGAATGGTATGTAATAGAACCCATGATAGCGTCACTAACGGTTGCCTCACTACATATGCAAGTTTCAAGTGTCAACCTATGTATTACAATTCATAAATAGTTTGTAAAACATTGACTAGACCTGATACCTACTTCTACGTCAGAGTTAACCTGCCAAACTCATGTGTTCAAAAAAATTTGCTTGGCTCAGCTGAATTATTCTAAATAAACATTTTGATGAACTAATTAGAAACCCAGTGCTTATATACTATCAATCTACTAGATTATATTCACAGTTCAACTTGACCATCATCTTTTTTGATTAAGATCATGAACCGATTAATGTTAGACCACCATTGGAAACCTGGAAGCACTGGACGGCCGTTTCGTCCCATTGTGGGGCTCCTCAGGAGTTCACATCCACGATCCCGCTTGCGGGATTCGAACCTAGGGCCTCCAGTCTTGCGCGCGGACGCTTAACCTACTGGACCAGTGGGACGGCATCCAATGATGTTAATGTCTAACCTCAACCAATCCACGAAATTGCGCGACTATCTTCCATTGTTCTGAAGTAGATACCTGTCTCTATCCGACACGGATTAGCTCCACTGGTCACGGCTGTCTAGTGCTTTCAGGTTTTCTATGGTGTTCTATCATCAATCGATTCATCATTTCAATCAAAAAAGTTTTGTTATACAATTATCGATTATTATTTGTTTTTTGCAAAATAAAGGTTTTAAACGGGTTTCGAAAGATATGAAACGAATGTATGGATATTCATTAAAGTGGATCACATTCTTATTCTGGTGCATAACAACACCATTGTTTTCACTTGTAAGCATATTTTAATGTATACTGCCGGTGTTTTATTTTTTCTAAACGGACTTCAATTTTTAATTTCATTTGATGATTAGGACTGCAATTGATCAGCCACTTATTGGCATATGTGCATCCTGTGCAGATTGCCTCGATATTGCCTCAAGGCACAAGTATTCTAAGCAAAGATGGATAATGGCTAGCAGTGGAATTCAGGATGTGTATTTCGTCCTATTTGGATTTCATATTCATTGAATTAGTGACTTTGACTTAGTCGTTGTTGACTTTAGAATGTTTTATTCATGAAATTATTTACATTGAAAGAATGTTTGACCAAGATCATGATCGTTTAAAGTTAAAAGACTGTCTCATCTTGTCAGAATATTTTTATTTCAATTTGCAATTAACTTAGGTTAAAGACTCTTATTCAGGGTGATGAAATACATTAGCAACACATAGAGAAAGAAATTATCAGTTCAATATAGCCGTATTGATAGAATATGTAATAACTAATAAGAAGGTGAATTGAAGACGATGAACTTATAAAATGTAAGATAGAAATTATTACGATAAAACAACAAGTTACACACAAATAACACAGTTTTAACATATGAGTCCCACAGGTAGCCTGTGGATATTGATCACTCCGTAGTTCACCTTGATCACATGGAATATGTTTTCGAAAGGAGGGAGAAACGTGACCTGCCGACTGTAAATACATCCTCAATAGTAAATCGTTCTCAGATGAATTTCCAGATTTCCTATGAATGGTCGTATTCTAGCTATCCAAGCTATATTGGAAATGGGATGAACTGATTCAGCTATCATTATTATTTTTATCTTAAATAGAGCAAGAACAAAGATTGGTGCAGAATAATATGCACCAATCTTTGTTCTTGCTCTATTTAAGATAATAAAGGGAACTATGTGTATGAAATTATTATTTTTACTGGCTGACTTACAAACGCAACACATATACTGATGGGTGGATGGAGGTAGTCTGTTGGATGACCTATATCTTACTTTTATACTATTCGGAAACCACCAGTAATGTGAATACATAATCTTGAGGGTACTGATATTCCCCGTAAGATTCGATCACACATTCTACACAGTGCAGGATCTTGTGTAGCTTCTTTCAAGTTCTATCTTTTAGATGATATCCTTTTTGATGTGTTTTAGTGCTACAAAGCAGTAATGATTTGTGAATATAAAGGGAATTATGAGGAATGTAACGTTCCATAATCGTCTTTCCCCTAACCTTTCTGTTCTGATGACGGTATTTGTTCAGTGATTCTGGGTGAAATAAGTAAGTTTGATTCCTTAATCAAAATACCTCTCTGGTTTCTATTCTCTGAGCTCCACCCAAACCCGACCGTTGTTGCTACCTTGACGTGGTGGTCGGGCTTGCCTATTGTGATGAGGCAACCGAGCTATACTGGCTGTAACAACCGTTCCTCAAGGTCCTACCATGTCAGACAGGTCGGTTGAAGAGCGGTAAGACCAAAAACAACAAACCCAAGGCTCGAAGGCGAAGTTGTACTGCTGACTGTACAGAGGTGTGAGAGCAGTAAGGTGTTTCTTTCAGACAACTAGCATGACAGCGATGCTGCCTTCCCACAAAGAATGGTGGGTTTAGAATAGGTCGACCCCAAAAATCTACACCTCACCTTATCCCATGAATTTCCGTCTCCGGAGGTAACGTCTCAATAAGTACGGAGCTAACACGAAAATTAATCACAGAAAGTTCGTGTGTGACCGACCTCAAGCAGTTGTCCCTTGGTCACTGTCGTCAATGTCTCAGACCACTCTAAGACCACCTCAAATCCATTTTCATTTTTAGGTACCTCCAAAAGAACCCTTCCACGGTGTGGGTAACCGGGAAGTGAAAACCACCCTCATACCTGTAACAGCACTCAAGACCACTGTATTCATAATCAACCTCCCTCTTCAATTCCTATTATTTCTCCTACATCGACTTTCAACGTTAAACTTCCTCTTTCGGCTTCCTCCTCAATTGTCACCATAGCCAACGATTCTAGTTCCTCCCAAAAAGATGATACTTACACTAAAGTAAATGAACATGATGAATGTTACTTCTAGACGAAATGTTCATTAACCATCGAAATAATCTTTCAGTGGTTTACAGGTCATGTGAATCAACATTATACGAAACTACAAAGCACCAGTGATAAGGAATTTTATGTACATCAAGTAATGTTTTAATAATCTAAATGTAACTATTTTGCTTATTATGAACTGATGAAATGAAATGAATCGTTTGTCGGAAGTAGTATCGATTGTTCACTTCTATTTTTGTATAAATCATCTCTACTACTTTTATTTGTATATTTTTTTTTAACAATTCTAGATTCTATTCATTATCAGTGTGATAGTCTATGAAGAATTAACTTACAAACGTGCTTCATTACATCAACCTTATCATTTTCCTGGATGGTCTGTAAAACTTGGTTGGTTTATGGCTAGTTCTAGTATATTTCTTATACCGATTGTAATGATTATTAAAATTCTTAGAACATCTGGAACATTTTTACAGGTAATTTAGTTGATTGTTTCTCTTGTCAATTCCTTATTTATAATAATCATAATGATTGTACAATCTAAAATATCACAAGTCAAACCATATTCATTTTGTTTTAGTGTAAACAGTTGGATCATATTACCAGTCAGTCAGTCAGCTACAACGTAGGACCAGGCACGTATATGCATCGGTCCAAGTTACCATACCTCATTAACACAACAAGATGGACACCGGCTTCATAAAAGTAGTTAATTCAGAGGTGGTAATATATAAAAGAAAGATTGCAATAAGAATATAGTATAGGAAGAAATAATTAGTTGGTAGAAGAAAATATATGAAGTGTATATATATGAGTGTATACACCGACGCCATTGTGATCGATTCTGAGCCATGTCATCAAGAGTCTCCAACCATTAGTTACGAAAGTCGCACGGACCCCAACCAAGTAGTCTGCATCTATCAACATGGCTCAGACCAAAAAGTTAGTGACTTTGTGGACTGATGCCATGTTCTGGTTTGACCACCCCTAACTTTCTTTCAACCATCCCGAACACCGGTTAACATTGCACGTCGTGTTAATTGATGTTCAGGTATACGTAACACGTAGCTAACCATCTCAGTCGATGAAGATTCACAACCTGATCAACTGATTTACCATCATTCCCTAATACCCTGCGTCGAACCTCACTATTACTTACCCGGTTATCCTAGAAGACCCCTGCAATATTTATAAGACATCTGTGGTCAAATACTAGTAGCTTACGGGTGTCTTCTACTCTTAAAGGCCATGTTTCACAGACGTTAAGTAGAACAGAACAGACTGCCGCGCAGTATACTCGTCCTTTAATTGATAGACGGATATCTCGCCTTCGCCAAAGGTGACGTAAGTTGGCAAAAGCCAAACGAGCTTTTCGAATCCATGCTGAGATTTCGTCCGATACCAACCCATTAGGGCTGATCAGACTTCCAAGATAAGTGAAGTTGTCAACGCGTTCGACTACTTCACTCCCTATCCTTAGTTCAGGTGTTGACGCAGACCAGTCCTGAAGCAACAACTTGCATTTAGAGGGAGAGAAGCGCATTCCAAACATTCTGGCATCGTTGCTCAGTGCTACCAGAAGACTCTGCATTTTGTCAGCGTCTTCACCGAACAGGACTATGTCATCTGCATATTGTAAGTCGATAAGTGGACCTCCTGGTAGGATATCAATACCCGAGAATTCAGTAGACGAGAATGTTATTTTCATCAATAAGTCTATGATGAAGTTAAACAGAAATGGAGAAGGTGGACAGCCTTGACGGACACCACTTGAGGTTGCAAAAGTAGATGACGGATCATATTGCCAAACGTTGTAAAATGTAGATAACAGAAAGTGTCAATCAACAATTTAAACTGTTGTGCAAAATGAAACGAGTATCTTTTCTTTGTTTGATTTTTTTACTAATACTGTTTCATAGTCTGATTAATTTCACTTCTATCTGAAGTTTTTGCTGATGATGTTGTTCAGTTTACTTGTTTATTTAAAGACATAAATGTTGGTACAAAGGAGCACCGAATACATATGCGCCACACAAGTCATTTGATTTGTGTATGGGCTGTCATACTGTTCAGGTGCCAAAACCGAAGCAAGTGGTTTTCTTAAAAGGAAACACTTAGAGCCTTTGACATAAAGGTCTGATCCACAATGCAGTAGGGCAACATCATGAGATGCAGTCCCATATGAACCGGTGACCGATAATTGGTTCATACGTCATTTGAATCTTTAGGGTCCTGGAGCCCATGTACACCATTCCATTGGAATCAGGGTTTTCCAAATCCCGTAGATGGATCCTCCATATCCAACAACCCGTTTAAAGGGCCGGACATTCACTTTTCGTCCTCTCAATTTCGTAAACAACAACCCTACAGCAAGAAGGCAGTGAGTAGGACGTTCCTGGTAGTGGCTGTATACAAGTGGCCTTGTGAGAACATTTCGAGAGAGAGAGAGAGGGGAGAGAGAGAACTGACTCTCCCTACCCTCATCTATACCAGGTTCTCGTCCGATGTCATTCACAATAACTATGAAAGCTCCATGAACAAACAATCCAACTCAGAGATCAAGACTTCATCAAAAACGGATTGGTTTATTTTATTGTTGAACTAATCACATTTCTCTTGTAATTTCTAGTTGGTTATAGATTTGTAAAGATCTGCATTACAGATGGGACAATACCATCTATAAGTGGATTTTTATTCTGTGAAATCATTCAATTTTAACTCTATTTTTTTCTTATTTTTTCTTCAATTAAGAGGATTAAAAAATTATGCATCCCTATTATTGAGAATAGTGATGAAACTATAGAGACTGTAGGTAAGTATCCTTCCTTTTATTGGTTACCTTATTTGGTTTCAAAAATGTAAAACTTTAGTAGAATATTTTGAATTACGGTAGCATTGAAAAACCTCCCAATCTGAGGGAAAGCAATGGATACCTTGCATGCAACTAGTCGATTTGAACTTCGCAGATTGTCTAGTTCTTCTATCTCATATACATCAACAGTCACAAATGAAGATAAATAGTGTAGCAGAAGTATCTGCATCAGTAGGCTTCAGCATACACAAGGGAAAAAGCAACATGCTCAAATACAACACACAGAACACCAACAAACACAATCACACTTGATTGAGAAACTCTGGAAGAGGTGGAAACTTTCATGAACCTGGACAGTAGCAGCATCATCGATGAACAAGGAGGATCAGATACAGATGTGATGGCAAGGATTGACAAAGCAAGTGTAACATTCCTACAGTTGAACAACATATGCAACTCAAAACAACTGTCTGTGAGTCAACATCAAACGCACAATCTTCAATACGAACGTCAACACAGTTCTACTATGCGGAGCTGAAACGTAGAGAAATACTACAACCATCATCAAATAAATACAAGTATTTATAAACAATTTTATACTCAAGATACTCACTGTCGTTGTCGACCAAACACCATCAACAACAACCTACTGTGAGAGAGAACGAACCAGTTCAGGAGATGGAGGAAATTAGGAAACAAAGTTGGAAGTGAATAGGACACACAGTGAGCAAATCATCAAATCGCGCCACGAGGCAAACCCTAACTTGGGAGCCTAAAGAGAAAAGGAAAAGAAGGAGGCCAAAGAACTCACTGAGCCCAGAATTGGAAGCAGACGTGTAAAGGATGAATAGCAAATGGAATGGATTGCCTAAGACACAGTTGGTTGAATAATCTTGATGCGTGGCTTAAAACATTACTGCACAGACAATATATATGGAGGACACTAAGCATTGTTCACAGACTTCACTGGATGTGAATATCAACGATAAAAGTCCTTGATCTGTGTACCCACTTCTAGTGCTGAGGATAACTTGTCTAATCTAGAGATTAAAACCTTGACACGATAGGCTGACCGGCTTAATCTTGGGGTTAGTACACGTGAGTTCGAAGGGGTGTAGAGAGAAAACGATTCTATCACCTGATTGACTGACAAGCACGTAAGTGAGAGAGAAGACTAATCAACTGGAACACTACTTAATTTATTCTCAATTCTGATCTGGTTCCCGATTTGCAGATCAGTGTAAAAAGAGATACATGAATAAATAGATGACTAACCCGACGACAACGTACAATAATTAGGAAAATACAATGATGTCCAAAACTGAAGATTAGCGTAGAAAATAGAGTACAAAATAATACATTTAAATTACAATAGCTTTGTAACAAAAAGGGCTATGGCAGTGAATCATACATCAAACGAAAGCTTATGGATATGTACAATAATAAATATTACTGTTTTATAGGCTTTGAATGGAATGAAATAACGTCCCGGAACAATACCTACTGTAGTTTATCAAGACTTCTTGTTTCTCTGTTCACATCAATGGGATAAAATTAATACAAAAATTATCAATTCACCTTCAGACGAATATTTGATTCAGAAACAATTTTCTTGTGTGTATATTATAGTAATTTCAATAATTGAAATCATGACCACCATGGAAAACCTGAAAGTACTGGATGACCGTTTCATTGTATTGTGAAACTCCTCAAGCAGTACGTATCCACGATTCCACCTCACAAGATTCGAAACCATGACCCACTATTTTTATAGACGCACATTTTAGTGGAATAAATTTTTCTGTTCTAGATTTGATATATATTTATATCAATAAACTGAGAGTTTTACGATTCAATTTAAAATAACTAACAGTGAAAACATAAAGAGAGCAAGAACAAAGATTGATACATAGTAATAAATGGATTCATTTTATTTCGTCAGGTTCTCATCAGCTGCTTACAACCAAAAATATTTTAAAATCGGAGTTATTACAGATATTGACATATTTATACATAAGAGAGTGATTAAAGATGAATTCATGTGTAGCGAAGATTTCCATAGAGTTAATGAAGTCATAAAACTTTTTTCTCGAATAAATAGAGTTTGTCAGTGCATTAACAAGAACTTATCCTGCATCAAAATTGATTGTCCTGTTCAAAACAACATGTTCTTTGAAACAATCAAAGGTCGACAGGTATCCCTTTCATGTTACCACCAACTGTGTATACAAATTTACATGTATCTGCCAAAGCAGTTACATTGGTAGAACAGAAAGGAGAGCCTACGTCCGATTCAAAAAACATATTCCGAAAAGTTTAAGATTAAATGGATTAAAAGTATCCAGCAGTGCCATCACAAGACATCTCCTTGAAACAGGACATAAAGTTGATATACTGAGGTCCTTCAAGGTGATTGACAAACAATCAAACTTTAACCTTTTGAAATTTACCGAAGCAATAGCAATCAAACGTTTAAAACCGGATCTATGTATACAAAATCTTGGACAGAGGAAACTCCAAAAACACCAGGGAATTTTTAGAAACCTGCACTCAGGTCAATCAGCAATCAACAAGCACATTAAAATCGATCCAACTTATCAACCAATCAGGAAAATTATGCACAAATATAGGAACAAAGATCAAACCAATGGGAGACACAACCAATACAAAGGAGTAAACAATGACAAATTTAAGGTCAATAAGAACCAATCAATATCGGGGTGCACAGAACAAGCTTTGAAACACATATGGAGAAATTCAAACACTTAACTTCTATTTGAAGTTTGTGCTGATGATGTCGTTCAGAAGAACGATGAAAGCTCCATGACCAAACCATCCAGCTCAGAGAACAAAACTCCACCAAAATCATCCATCTGAGCTACAAATCTTCTCCACCATGTCAGAGTTTTGAGTCAATTCTATATTGATCTTTACATCAATAAATCTTGTACAACCATTTAGATGTTCATTGAATATCCTTAACCTATAAGACTACTCACCGGAAAGTATTTTATAATTCATTATTATACTGAATTCATTTGTTAATCATTCTATTGATAATGCAATACATCTCATTCTGGTCATTTTCTTTATGTATTCAGATTATAAATGTCTAAAGTTATTGAAAAACAACTGTGTCACTTGAATAATCCTTATTTTTATTGATCATTATAAGTTTTCAGTTATTTATCGGATAATGATGTAGGTCACCAAAGTAACTAATATTATGAGACTATCATTTATACTATCAGTCTACTTAGTAACGCTGTGATATATGCTACTTATATTGACATAAGTAGTATATAACGTTAATCAGAAATAGAATGTCTGGAAGTAGAAGTTCAATAAGTAGAGGGAGAGAATGAAAAAAACAGAAAGTGATTGATATAGAAATGAAGGAATATGAAGGAAGTCTGATTCGATTGACTGATATTTGCAAGTTTGAGATAAATGACTGACAATTTACAAATGAAGTATTTACTGTATAGTTCTCAAGGTTTACTAAGTGATTGTGTAATTTTGTACCCAAATATATTCGATTATCTTCCCCTCCTCCCACTTGTATACTCATTCACTAAAACACAAAATACTTTATAAAATCTAAAAAGAAAATTATTTTTTTCTTTTTTTTAAATTTTTATTCATAGAATCAAATGTAAACGGGAATTAAATGAATGTTGTAAATTCTCTGAACAATGAAACTTCTCTTTTCTTCTATGATCTTAGTTGTTAACCGATTCAATCAATATGATGATCAGTCTAATGATTTATTGAATAGAACAGATTTTATTTTCATTATCTGTCTATTTTTGTTGTTTTTTTCTTTTTGATTTTATACTTTCATATTGTGCAAAATAATAGTGTCGTTCTTTTTTTAGCGAGTTCATTTTCTACAGGATGGGGTCGTTAATTCCATGCCTAATTCTCCTCCTTTATCTAGATTTAGGACTAACATAGGCCGCTCACCAGCATTCACCATCCAATCCTGTCCTGGGCAATCCTTTCCAGCTCCTTCCAGTTGTTATTCACCCTTTCCATATCTGCTTTTATTTCCCGACGTAATGTGTTCTTTGGCCTTCTTCTTTCCCGCCTTTCGTAATCATCTAAAGATATAAATAAATTTAAAATAAAGATATCTGGCGAAAAGACTAGGAATCTATTGTAAATGATTAGTAGTAGTAGGTAGTGGCTTTGCTTCGTTAATCAATCACCCTTGTAACCAGTATAATATAAATCTTAAAGGTGTTTGAAATCAGAAGACAATATGAAGTGGCAACTGTAGTTTTATTAGTGGATAGCGTAGATTACAATGCTATAAGCACATTAAGTGAATTTGAAGTAGAGAGGCGAATATCTGTATGTGAGCAAACACTTAGCCAAATTGCATAAGGACACAGCATGGCAACTCAAAGGTTGATAATAAGATTTGAGTATAATGTTATGCATATGGAAACGATCAACACTTTAGCTAGAGTCTGTTACGTGATCTACTGATCATTATGGTACAAAAAACGTTTATTTTTTATTCAATTACCTGAACTTTTCAACTCAGTGATCTAGAGATGAAGCGATAGCACGCAAGACCAAAAGTCCCGAATCCTATTTGCTGAATCATGGATGTGTACTTTTGAGAAGTCCTATACTAGGAAAAAACGGTGATACATTGCTTTCGGGTTTTCGATGATGGTGTAGCTTAGGTTGACTAGTGATTTCAACTGTGAAGATACTATAAACTCCACCAATCCTCATAATGATAACAAAACATTGTTATGTAATACTTTATGGGTTATCAAACAATAATAAAAGTTTCTCTTGGTTATACCGCAATGAGTTGAACACTTGTGTTTCCGATGTTTCGTGACTTAATATAAACCACTTCTTCAGGATAAATAAATTGAAACTATCAAGTTCAACTTTGGCATTAATAGATACTATGGGTTATTTGTTAATTGTAAAATTTACAGTAGTAACATCTTACTAATTAGATCTCTGTGTTAAATGAATCAGTTAATGATACACTGATACTAAAATATAATACATAAAATTACAATAAGTTACTTCTATACCTAATTATCAAATCATTCGCTAATTGGTTTCGAAATAGTATCTGTTCAATACCTTGGTACCAGTTAAAGATAATTTATATTAATCGAAACCTTCAGTTTCAACTAAAACTTTAAGCAGTAAGATGAGTAGAGTTTTTGTAAATTCACCATTTTGTAGATCCTCTTCTAAGTTTATTAAAAGGAAGTTACATACGTCTGTTACTTCTCGTGAACTAACATAGGCCGCTCACCAGCATCCTCCATCCAACCCTGTCCTGGACAATCCTTTCAGTTGTTACTCACCCTTTTCATATCTGCTTCTATTTCCCGACGTAATGTGTTCTTAGGCCTTCTTCATTCCCACTTCCCTTCACGATTCCAAGTTAAGGCTTGCCTCGTGATGTAGTTTGGTGATTTGCGTAATGCATGTTCTATCCACCAACTCCACCGTCTTTTCCTAATTTCCTCTTCAGCTGGAAGCTGGTTTTTTCTCTCCCACGGAAGGCTGTTGCTGATGGTATCCGGCCAATGGACGTTGAGTATCTTTTTTAAGTGTACTAAAAACACACATTCTCCCGTTGTCTGTGACCTTGCATGAACTAATGTACGCTCAGTAGTCCCGCTTGTAAACTTTGGCACGATCTCGATATTCTTTCAATACCAGGAGATCGCCAACAAACACATCTTACTACAAGCTGTAATTGCCTTCTGATATTTGGTCTACGGAGGGATATAACCTGGTAACTGGCACGTAGTCTTCCTGTAGTGGTAATCATAGTCAACCACGACTTGACTACACACTACACTATATATTTAAACATTAGTGAACACTGAAGGTTTTCCTCACATTACAGAGTGTTCTAGAAGGATCTATTAAAATTCAGTGTTATAGCAACTATTATTTTCAAAGTCTTCATTTTAATCTTTAAATTAACTGCTCCTAAACACCGAATGCTCAAATGAATCTCACGATATTGTTTAGAATATTGTTAGTTTTGATAAACGTTACTAATAGAAGTTAATCAGTCGATTGTCATAGTCATATCCCAACGAAGCTAATGTGTGAAACTCTAAGTCCTGGAGTTAGTCAACTTCTTAGCCTCACACTCACCCATCCCGGCTATTTCAGGTGGGTTTGCTAAAACTGTCTCTGCTTAGTGTTACATCGTAACTTGGAGTTATAAGTGATCAACTGAAATTAAACACGATTAATAGTTGAGGAGCAGTTTCCACCTATCTATCATAAACCATTTTAAAATCGCGATTGAAACATCTCCAGTTGTCATTTTTCAATTGTTCTGACTTCCATTCGATTCCTTGTTAATTTCTGTAGACTATTCTGCGGTGAATATGAATTACATTCACATTAGAATTAATCATTTTATATTGTACATAAATCATAAAATAACACGATACAACTTCACGCTGCGTACTTCAAATTAGAGTTCTTAATAGTGTCTTGTAGAATTCCTATACGATTAGCATCATTTTGTTAGACTATTTCAAACACATCTTGCGTCGCAACATAAGTGGAGTCAAATAACCCGAAGAATTCGGTTATCAACTTGTAGCGCTAAATAAATTCCCAAAATAAATAGCTCTGTAAGTTTTCGACATCGGATGCTGACCACATGTTTTAATGAACTTACATAGCTGAAGGCGCTCGGTCATGCATCCGCATCAGATCACGAGTGGGAACTCCGTGTTCAACATCCCCTGCAACCGCTAACCAGATTAGATCAGACGATCCTCGGTATATTGATAGCATATCAACTATATCTTGGAACCTCCTCGTTTCCGTCTTCTGAGTTCACTTGTTGTGTACGACTCATACTAAGTGTTACTGGTTAAAGCGTTGTCAAACTTTGAATACCTGTGGCATCTTCAAACTTGTCACTGTGTGATGTGGGAAGTTATTTAAAATGATTTGAAGCCTTTTATTTATAACATAACATCAAGAAAAACGGACGTTCAGCTTCTTTCATAACTGCGATCGGTACAGAAGCCTATATTTTATTTTAAAAATCTTAAATCTCCTTTCAAGACCCATTCTAATTCTGTCCAAGAAACTAAAGAAACTACTAGTAGAGTATTTTTACATAAAATCACCTGAAATATATGAAAGAAGATAATTCGACAAAGAAAAGTAGTATTTTTCTTCTGAGTAATTTTTATCGTTAAATTACTCATCAAAACTACTGCTTTTGCTTTAATTGATATTTTTCAGTTAAAGCAATCCCCAAAAGTACCGCCTTTTTTCTAGTGAAGTTTATCATCTGTACTTTACGAGTACAGATACATAAAAACTAAAGGCACTAGTACTCATTCTTCGTCGTCCAATATATCTCTGAGCATTGTTTGTATCCATAGTTGTTAAGGTCTTTCTGCAACTACTGAAGTCCGATTTTTTCATTGATTTTTATTCTATTTACATATAAACATAAAATAAATCTATGGCGCAATCGAAACACCTCATCAGGGAAGCAGAAAAACATATGGATGTAGGTATTGTTACAAGGAGAAAGAAGCGCAAAGAGAAGAAGAAACTACCTATAGACAGTACTGAGACATGTGAATCTGCGGTTTTAGTTATGGATTCACATATCAATATAATACAAAGTATAGGGGAGCCAAGACTGAGCAGTGTAGAGGAAGTGCTAATGAGACAAAATAAGATAAGTGAGTGGCTCGCAGTCACACCTAAGTAAAGAAAAGTAAGAAAACAGGATTGCAATGAAGAGACGGTTTCATGAAATAAAATTCCGCAGCGTGTCAAGACGGACCTCGCTGAGAGATCAGTCAATTTTCATAAGTTAGGAGAATAATCCAATAAGGAACCAAAGGTTAGATTTGAGCACGACCTCAGTCATATTAAATGTTTAATAAGCGAGCATCTGCAAGAATAATAGAACAGGACAAAAGATGGATTCTGAAAGTCCTCAAAAAAAGCTGCCTCTTGAAGTTTACATCTCCTGCGGTTGAAGAAAGGGACCTGATTCTAGCTAACTCACGTAAACTGATTCGATTGGAATATATATCCGTGAGGATTTCAGCCTAGCTGATCATATTAAGAGATGAGCTGCAGAAGTTGAAATAAACGAGCGCCGCCGAAATGGTGAAAGAAACCTTGTTCTAGAGGGTTTTCAAATTGTTAACCTTCGGAACAAAACGATCCCTAAACCACTCTGGGTGGTAAGGGAAAGTTCTCCACAGACTTAAAGGTATGGTACACAAATGCTCGCAGCCTACTAAATAAAATGGCAGAGCTCAAGTCAGTGGTGGATAAATAAAAATCGGACGTTATTGCTGTCTCGGGAACTTGGTTAATGTCAGAAGTATCAGATAGTGAAATCCAGTTGACTGGTTTTTTAACCTATAGGGCTGATAGGTTAAACCGTAGGGGAGGTGAGGTTATTCTGTACATGTAAAGCACCCTAACCATATGAGCAGTTGAGACAGTGGCACATAATTCAGGGACATGTGAACTGGTGAGATGTATGTTGAAATGCCGACAGCAAGATATTGAAGTAGTTGTAGTATATCGCAGTGAAGAATGTGTAGCAGATGGTTTTCTTCTAAGTAAACTTAAGTCCTGGTGTAACATGAGTAAAAGCCTTGTATTAGG